AATCAAATGAAGTCTAAACTATAACGCGATGGCAGTTATTTTTACGGCTGTTTTATCACAGAAACAGAACACTGTCCTAACTCACACAGATCATCAGATTCCTGCCAATGAATTCAGCGTGCCTGTCAAGTTCCCTTGAGTGTCCCTGTTTTCTCCCCAGCCCAATTAAAACCTGATGTGCTATAGATTAAGTACCATATATGTCATGTGGCTGTATATCAGCTGCCAAACCCATCCTAACACACTCATCAAATGACTGTGTCCTCACCCATACTCACCTGTATCCAATTAGACTGACAAAGGTCAGGAATAACTGGTTCACAAGCCAGAATCAGATAGCATACATATATAGCCACATAGATCATGCCTGCATGTACTATCTCAGCATCTCTCTCTCTTTTACTCCTATAGCTTGAGTTCCCATGTCCCACAAAAAGATTGGCACCACAAAATCCTTTCTATGTCGTTCAGATAATGAAAAGGAAAAATAGCAAATTCTCACTTACTGTGACAATAGTATAGTGGTTTGGAAAGGTTTTTGTGGGGTAAACAGCTCTCATGTATTTTGAATGCGTACCACATGTTTCTGCAACAGATCATGGAATTAATATAAATTTGCTTATAATTTTTTTTAATTGAAAACTAACAGTCTTAAGAGAAAAAAAATCACCACAGTCAGCTGCTGTGATATGAGAGGGGAAATGTAACTCCAAATTAAGATGCATATGTTCTGGTGTCTCCTTGTGAGCAGGCCTACTGTCCCATTGCAGTCAACAGACCCTGGACACTGAATTCAGCTGCCTAAAGCCTGGACGCCTAGGGCCATTTGAGATATCTTTAATGATCCTGCCTAGACTTCAAATGCTGCTCCTACGTCCTGTCTGCCAACCCAAATGTGTGTCTCAGACACTTCTGAGACCCAAAATGGCACTAGACATGTATGTTTACGCAATAAGACTGAAGCCTCAGGTCAGCCCAGGCAAGACATTCTGCAGAGCTGTCTGGTGACCAGAAGCATGGGAAGGACTCAGCTGCTCAAGCACTAGAGTCCGGTGCCATTTGAGATACGCTCAGGTATCTAAGACATCTGCATAAAAGTTGGCAGTTTTGATGCAAGATCACCAGGACATCTGTGTCCTCCTGACACAGCTGCTGAAGGCCACCTCGGATACACCACAGCATTCTGAAGTATACTAGAAACATAGATTAAGGCAACAATTTGCCCTGTGGCACCCCCTGTCTGCCGGTTGAGCTGACTTGCTCTCTAGGCTCTTGCACTGAGCTGTACAGACGGTACTAACCATAAACACACTGACTACAATGAGCATGTAGACATCTCGCATGCAGACACCTCCAAGAACATAGCTTAGGTGTCCTGCTCTGGAGTGAATCCCACCCCAGGTGTCCTACCTTTATTTCCAAACATTGCATCACTTTTCAGCAATCTACGGCACGTGCCATGCCTGAACATCTGTAATACCTAAATCCACTGTAGTATCCAACTTATTTGCCCAAAAAACAAAGGTGTGAAGACTGGAAGATACCTTAATTCCATTTTTTAATCTAACTCACGTGGAGAAACAGTTCTGTATTAAGTTGTAGGCAGATGATTATTTGATTCACACTCAAACACACTTTATTCTTTGGTGTACAGTGTTTCAGTCAAAGAACAGAAACTGATTTTAACTGAACAACCTCAACTAAACAATGAAAGCCTGAAATTATTCTACAAAACTGTTCCAGTGCAGTACAGAAAAAAAGGCTTAGAGTGTTTAAAGAAGGGCTGAATAATTGACAAACACATGAGAAACTCAGCATAAATTTTTATGGATTTCTCTTGAATGGTAAAGGAGTCACATTCATAATGTACATATTGCATAACAACTAGCTTGATTAGGTCTAGTGAAAATCCTACCTTAATGGAGTAAATAGAGAGGAGATATTTTATGCTACAAATCAGTGTTTTTTCTTTTTCAAAGAGGGGAATTCCCTTTCCTTTCCACTGTAGATTTCTGAGAAGTATAAGCATGAATGTGCATAAGCAATTGTTAAAATTGACCACAAGTATGAGTAATGCTGAATTAGATCAGTTCTTGTTTGAAAGGAATTTTTTTGGAAGCATACATGTAGCATGGTTTTCATGCCTTTTGTCAATTTGGCATTTCCTTTTCACCTGTTTCAAAAGACTGGAAGTGGACACTGACTTCTGCATGTATGATTTCTTCACTGATTCAAGTTCCTTCCAACATCAGAATGACATCAAAGAATAAGATAATTGCGCAAGAAGTCAGGTTTCCACACTGCTTCAAGTTCAGGCTTCTGGATACCCTCATTATCCACAAATAAGATTGTTAACTATTCAGTAAAATGTAGTACTTTGTAACATCCATGTGAAGTTTTCAAATGAGCACAATAGAAACAGAATATGATATATTCAGAACAGATACGAACACTGTTAATTTAGACCATTACTGCTGAGAAGAAATGAATAAACATGCAGACATTTTGTCCAGGTACAAAGTATCTTGAGAGCTGAGCTCTAAAATATTCAGGAAATTTTAACAAAGTGTGAACAAATGGGTCTCACTTTTTAGAGCTCTTTACAGAACAGGCTAAAGATCTTCAACTTACTCTTTCTCCCAATATTCAGAAATACTGGGAAACAGTTACTTGAGCCTTACTGCAATCATATAAATATATTAAATTATACCAATATGTAAATTACATTGCATTTAAGTCTAATATAGTAATATTCACTGATATACTTTTAAATATGCAGCTTTTCTTTAATAGCTTAAAATATCTGACATGAAAAAGTACCTCTTTGAGGAGAGCTTCCCGATAACCCAGTGCATTTTCTCTTATTATACTTTAATGGTGATCTCCTTATCAGCTAGAATTTTTCAATGGAGTACAGAGAATGCAGGAAATCCTTCTCTGGAACTTTTTTTCACTCTTAAACTGTATTTGAATGTATATTTCAAACTATTTATTTCATAAAAAGTTGCTGACCAGGCATTAGAGGCCTTGTTAAAAAACGTCATGTTTGCTGTGCACTAAAATGCAAGAATTAATGTAGAACATATAATAATGAAAATATACAACTGGTGAGGGAGACCTGATTTGTTTCTCTTATTGCTGAGTAACACATAGGCATCACAGCAGCAAAAGGCACTGGAGAGGTTGCATGTAGACTTTTAAAGAAAACAGTCAAAGCACTCTTGGTAACTTACTGAGTTTTTCAATATTTGGCAGCAAAGAACTCCAAGTTTGCAAGTACTCTGCTCTAAACCCATCCATTGAAAAAAGGATAAGTGGTGGCAGATCAAACCTACAAGAAAATATGAGTTTGTCATCATAAACGAGTTTGGAGGGTTGGTGACTTGTTAAGATCTTTATCAACAATATAAATTCTGCCTTTAAAGGCAGGATCCAGAATTTCCATGTACGTCCCAGAATTAATGTCACAGTGTAAGATAAACAAATACTTCAATTTTGAGAGCAAATACGGCATCCTCCTGAAAAAAAAACCACTGGAGGAATAAAATACAAGCTACTCAGTATATCTAGAACTTAGGAAAAGAAACTGGGTTTTGTTAATCTTTTAATTACAAATATTTAATTAAAAATACAAATAAATACAAATGCTGCAGACTAGTATCCAAATACAAGCCCAGAGTACAGAACAGCCAAAGTACTTCTGTACATAGTAACGGGTTGAATTCTGTTTCTTGTCTCTTAATGCATCTTAAAAAACTTTTCAGGGCAGCTGCACAAGGACTGTAAAAGTACAACAATCACCCAGCAAGCAGTTAGGGTCAATTGGCCGCACTGCTGAGAAACGTAATCTCTTTGCAATGACAGGTTTATGCTAACCCCTTACCTTACCACATTTTCTTTGTGAAGACATCACTAGAGCAGTCCATGTTCTTTCTAGATTATCTCTTTAAAGTTTCCCAGCTCTCATGGAGCTGGAGAACACTTTTTTGCCTCAAGGCCCCTGACAAACTGAACTCAAAGCTACAAAGGAAATGCAGCATCTGCTAATGTGGTTAGGGTAAGACTTTATGTAAAGAAACAAGAATAAAAGCCTCAGATCTGAGTTCATATAGTAGGTATGATAAAATAGGCACAAACTGCAGCTGATCTCTAGAACAGTGTTCAAATTCTTGTTATAAAAATTCTAACTAGGAGGTGTTAGCTGTGAAAATAAACTTCAAAGTTATTAAGCATGCTTTCTCTTAACCAACCTAAAAGGACTCCTAAAGAAAGATGCATTAGAAGTTATAAAGTGCTGGTGCTATAGCACCTTTTTTCATAACACCAAGTGACAAAATTAGCAGGATCAAGTCATCTTGTTCTGCAAATTCAGTCTTTTTGTTAACCATCATTATATATTCTACATTCTCCTTAGAAACATATAAAGAAACATGAAAATTGTAAACATACAATTAAATTAAAAATGTAATTTGAAGCAGGCTTCACTACACATAGTATCTAAAAAAACCCCAACTATTTGTAATTTATAGGAATGGTTCACTACATAAGTCTGCAAAATATTGGGGGATAAAATGAGTGATAAAATGCAGTTACTGATAACTGACTCCAAACCATTTTTTCAAGTAATACTTTGAGTGATAACTATTAAAAAAAAAAGTTATATATTCACATCAGGCAATAATCACTATCCTAATTTGTTTTTCATTTGCAGTGGTCTTTCCAAAACACAGAATTACACTGGCATCAACAGTTTGTATAAAACCAGTTTGTATTAAACAGCTTCCTGATTTGAATCTGAAATTAAATGGAGCTTTACATAGCAATGCTGTTTACAGCACTTAAAGAAGCCCTTCTTCACTAGTTTCCAAGCTTTAATCTATGAAACTGTGTTAACTCAGCAAGTTATTTGTTAACCTAAAAAGTATATTTTTATACTTACATTGGGAGGTGCATGCAGGAACCCATGAAGAGGCCACAATACTAAAGGTATTATTGTTATCATTAAACTAAATTGGCAGTAAAATAGATAGAATAATGGATAACATCACAAATACCATAACTGAACTAGCAAGTAATTCATTTTTCTTTGAGAACAACTCTTTAAACTATGTTTCTGCCTAGCCTCTACCTATGATTCTGCAATACTGCACAAATAGCAAAATATCTACAGGTGGACATCAGAATTACCATATTCCAGCGTTTGTAGATATGCGGCTATTTCATAGCTTCCTTTTTAACACACCTTTCTTCCCACAGATAATTCAAGTTAAAAAAGCCCTGTTACCTAGATAAAGAATTGCAAGCACAGATTGTAACAGTTACTAAAGCTTGCATATGGTGATTTATCTGAATTATCACAGATACAATATGATAACATAAATGGACTATGAACAATTTGTGATACACGAACTTCGAGATAACTTTAACAATTTTCCCAGTCTTTGCAAGCTGACTTTGAACCTGGATTTGAAGTCCTGTAGTCTGCTCTAAACTGTAAATGATGAATGAACGTGCAACAAAATGACAAAGGTTTTAAAAAGAAAAAACACTGCTGGCCACAAACTACTTCTGTAGAATATTCCTCATGGCAGGAAACTTATTCTCAGTAAATATGAAAACCTCATGAAGACCTGCTTCAGGCCACTGGAGTACTTCTGACCACCACAATGATTTTATTTGCTAAGACGACAAAATTATTTTATCCTACCCAGCTGGACACTGAGGAGTTTCAAGTGGTACACATGGTTCTTCCACCCAAGGTATTTCACCTAAAAGGACAAAAGAAAATACTGAGTCAACATTAAAAAAACCCACACTAACAACAAAGAAGTTTCCTGGTTGATCTTTTTAGAGCTCTTCCTGGTAATTTTTCTGCTTCAATACAGAATTATAGAAATACAGGGCTAAAGATACCTTTAGAAATCATTTAGTGCAACCTATTAGGCCCTCAAACCCTGAAAGGGCTAATGCTTACAATTGTAAGTTGAAACCAAAACACATACTACACAGACAAGCAAACAAACAAAATGGAGATGAAATCACTATGAAAGCTTAGCCTAAGTTTCATCTGGTTTTAAATGGAAAACATTTTAAGTATATCCTGTCCACACTGGATTACTGCCTTCTTTTTTTGCAGATACATACTTAGAGGTGATTGTCAGAACTCCCTTTAGCCTTTTTTTTTTTTTTTTGTAAAGAGCCCAAACTCCTTCAATCTTTCCTTGTTGACCATGGCTTCCAAATTTCAAGTAATTCTTTCTGTTCTCCTTTGAATATTCTCCACCTGCTTCACACCTATACTCATTCACGATAATGTTTGCCCATCTCTTTGGAAGAAATAAGAGAGATCAATAAAAGAAGAAAGAAGGAAAGCATCCAAGAAAGGAAAAAATATAAAGAAAAGAGAAGAAGCATTGGCTGTTGAAGTCCTCAGCTCACCACAGAAACCTTCTCTCCCAGTAAGCAGCCAAAGGTAGGGATGTACAGTGACCTTAACTAGGTCAGCTCAATCAATTTAGCACCTAGTAAAACTCCTGACTGCTTTTAGCTTTAATTTATATTTAGATGACAAATATAATTTTGCAGAAGTTGCCTTAAATCTCTGCAACCTCACAATATAAAAGAATTCTGATAACAGATACCATGTTTTCTGTCACTGGTATACTCCTCAGGTATCATTCCTGTAACCTGATTTTACCAGTGCTATTTTTCATGTGTTTGTTTAGCCAGAGTCTGTATGAAACAATCAGCCATGAACAAAAATATTCAGCAATAAGTAAAACATAAGGAACCCAATCTGAAAATTAATTTCTAATAAAAAGGATGGGAAATTTTGAATTACAGATAATTACTACAATATGTACTTTGGATCGCATGAAGTTTGAAGCAGGAACCATGTCTCCATCTATTTTTGAAAAAGAAGAAAAGAAACAACCTAAAAAACCCACATTGGGTATACTGCTGCAATATTCAAAACATTCTATCCGTCTTATGAATGACACACACTCACATTGTTCTCCAGAGACCGTCTTTTTCCCAGTCAAAGATACCAAAAGCTTCACCTCAAAAGATCTTCATTTTCCAAAACATCACTGTAAGACTCTAACCTTGAGAAACAAATGTATCTACCTTTATATTTGCCATGTTTTCCCATCTATTTATTCCACAGGACAATTTATATATAAAACTTTTTGACTTTTGATTTACCTTTGCAAACACTATTGTAGTTCACACAGCAGTCTTTTTTCTGCAAGCAGTCATCAGAACAAGAACAGTAACTTCCAGGTATCCGTGTCTCACCACAACGGAAATTAGTGCACCTCCAAGATCGGGCTGAAAATTGGAAGAAAAAGATTATGATTCAGTTCACAGAACCTTATGTAAAATCCTTTGTGTGGAAATTCCCCAAACAGGTAAAGAAAAAAAAAAAGAGTTTTTGTTAAACTATAATTTACATGTGCTGCTTGAGTGGCTTTAGAAGTTTTGTCTGAAAGGAAAACTCAAGATTTCGTTTAACACATAAAGCCTATTTCTGTGGCCACTGAATGGTAACACAGAGTCATATAATAATTTATTTTACAAATGTGTCCCCGAAGTCACCATGCTCAATGCCTTCCACCCTTCCAGGAAGATCTGAAAAAAAAATACTCAAACCCATATATCTCCTACAGAAGAGAAAGAGAAGGAAACAGATCTTTTTTCTGCTCTTGTACATGATTCCCAGCAGACAGCACAAAAAGAGATGTAAGGGCTGAAGCGGGCAGAAAAAGCAATAAGGATGAAGAAACATCCGAGCAGCTGCTGGGAAAGCAGAGACAGTAACTGGAGAGGAGTCTGGCCTCGATGCACAGCCAGACCAGTCCCCTGGAAGACGAGTGCAGTTCACCGACCCCAGGCCCCCACCAGGCGCTGTGTGAGGCTGAGAGCGCACCTGGAAACACCCGTGCATTTTCAAAAGTGCAAGAGGAGCCGGCACAGCGGCATCATTTCAGGGCTACGGTCAAAGATAACCTACGATTTCCGCTGACGCTCATACACAGCTTTATCTGGGCCGGGAAATATGCACTGCAAATGCTTTGGCTATCCACAGGGGACAAAAATACAGGGATCTGACTTGAGAAAGATGCAGGAAGATTTTGTGTCCTGCCAGGTCACCAAGTTACGGCCCTCTAGCCATCTGAGTGCAGCAGCAACTCAACAGTGCCACATCCTTCCCTCCCTGAGGGAATGTGACATAACTTCCATATATCTGCGTAAATACAAGAATTTATCTTTTTCCTATTACTATCACGTGAAAAATCAAACCCAAAATAAAATGGAAACCAGTAAGCATTGCCTGTAAGGGAACATACTTGGCTCTACGCAGGTGTCCTCGTAGTCCCAACAGCAGTCCTGACGCTCCTTGCAGCCGCTGTCGCACCAGCAGCCAGGCACCCCGTTCCTCTGCGGCTCATTGCACTTGTGTCTGCAGCTGACTGTAAGGAGAAGGCAGCCATTCTGAGTGCTCAGACAACCCCGTCCCAGACGGGTCAGTTAAATGGATCATGGACACCGGCTGCGGGAAGAAATGTGCTGAATAATTTCCTAAATCTGTTTCCCAAGTCATTTTCCAATGTGGTCACTAGCACAAGGGTTAGCAAGGCAAAATGAAAGCTGTAGGAACTCCTCTGGATGTCGATGTGGCTGTTTGGGCCGTGCTCGCTCAGAGCCTGTGGCAGGGCTGTTTCTGCAGCAGGTCTCCCCAGAACCGGTGGCCCAGGAGGCGATGCCTGGGTGTCCCACCCTCCTGGCATGGGCAATGCCCGGGTGTCCCACCCTCCCAGCATGGGCAATGCCTGGGTGTGCCACCCTCCCAGCACGCGGAGGGGGAAACTGGTGTCTCCCCTGCTCATTTCTGGGTCTGGGATGCAAGAGGAAGAGCGACTTCCACTTTGGACGTTCCTTAATATACGTGCCAGGGAGCTGCGTGGGACGGGGGCTCCCTCAGGGCCGGGCACCCAGAGCCATGGGGCCTCCCCAGGGATGGCTGGGCAGGTCCTGGCAGCCAGGGCCCATCCCATTGCCCCAGCCAGGAGTGGGGCAGGCGGGGGGGGCACCAGGGCAGCCTCACCCCAGGCACTGGGCACCTCCCTGGGGACAAGAACAGGCCAAGGCCGGGCTGTTGGCCTGCGGGTAGGCCTGGCTCAGTGGCACCCATGGCTGCGCAGGAATGGGCTGTGGGGACCTGGAGACCGGCCCTGCTGCGGTGTCGCTGGGGCAGGCGCTGATGGCCCCAAGGGGCTGAAATGGGGTCCTGGGCCGTGGGCAGGGTAGGGGCAGCCCCAGGGAGCTGGGCAGGGCCCATAAGGCTTATTAGTGCACTCCGGACTCTGACCATACAATGTCCCTTAACAATCTGCAGGTTTGGTTGTTTTGATCAAAAGAAAGAGAAGGGTCCAAAGGAGGGGCCTCGTGTTGGAAATGGAGACATGCAGTTCCTCACCGCAGCTCTGACACCTTCGTGCAGGGAGAAGGGAGAGGTCTGGCTCTCCCGAGGACATTCAAGGAGAACCCGAAATCTCCAAACATCACCCGCAGCTCCACAGTAGCCAGGACAAGCCTTGTGTCTGCCTTCTCTGTACTGCAGACATACTGCTTCAACCACTCTGAGCACTTACATTTCCAGCTTTCTTGTCCACTCACACCGTTAGACAGGGATAGGTATAACTACTCAGATTTGCTGGTGCAATTCTATTATAATTGCCAAAAGGTTCATGCTTTTGCAGGGGGCACTGCCTACAAAATTTGAGCTTTAATATCCACTGTGTAGAAACCATGTATAGCTAAAGTGATTTTTTTCGAGCTAGCCAGGTTGTTTCACATGTAGAAAGTTCTCATGTACCTTGAGCTTTAAGTGCTTACATCAACAGCTACTGTTCAATGCAAGAAAGCTTTGCAAATAATTAGAATAAAAAACAATATATGTAATGAGCATAAATGGATCTGTCAAAAGTAGAGATGGAAAGAAGTAATTGAGGGTTAAGTGCTTTATGACTGGAGTCTGTTCTGTCAAGAAAAAACTATGTTTTTTCACAAATGTACATGAACATATGCAAACAGGTTTTTTCTGCTTTTTTGGCTGAAGTTTAGAGTATTTCATTTAATTTTTCCTCTATCCATTGGGTTTTGAACAACTCAAAGTTGTTCAGCTGGTCTACCTGATTTAAAATGATATGGAATATAGCATGGTGAGTCAGAAAAAATATAAACCTTTTCCTCTATCTGTAAATGGAACTGTTCATACCCCTCATAATTTGCAACCCACGCTTCTAATTTCTTTACAATATTTACATAACTATGCGAGGTCAGGAATTTAGTATTCCATTAACTTTTATTTTGAATAGTCACTACAATTACAGGAGCTAGAAGGAAACTTACCTTGACTATATAAACAGAATCAATTGTACTATCACCAAATGCAAACTCTGTGCTAATTTTTAAATGTACAGAATGACAGGTCCTCCTGACTCCTTTCCAGGCCCCTCCTCCCAAGATCACAAGCCCCCAGCAGGCATCTCGACCACGACTCCCTTTGCTCCTGAACAGCAACATTCTTTCCCTCTGCCTTCATAGCAAATGCAACTGCACAAAGGTGCATGCCGCTCTGGGCTCAGGTTTCCCCTCCCACTCCACAGTCTAATACCGTGTGTTGCTAATTCATCTTTCCCAGGTAGGTCTGGTTATGAAAGTAGCAAATAAAGTTAGTCTCTATTTAGGGTTGCTCTGTAACACTTGCAGTCAGAGGCACCAAAATTCCATCGTGCTGATTTGGTGCCATCTTTCACTTACTACAACTGTGGCCAAGTTCCTCAGGTAAATGTCAGCGACAACTAAAGTTGTGGGTACCTACACATTTTACACAGAAAGTCAGAATACAACATACACGTCATCAAAAAGCAATTACAGTTCCATCTCATCCTATTTGCTAGGCCTGTAGTATTGAAAGATCCCAGAAGGAGCTAAGACTTGATGAATAAGTAGGTAAACAAGTTCGATATGTGTTGATTAGGAATGAGAAAGAGACTGTGCTTCCTTGAACTCCTCCAGTATGAGATTACTATTGTTTTGATTCTAAAGGAGGTGTTTTATTTAATTCACTGTGTGGTGTGTTTGTTCTCATCCAGCTTGACCTCCTGACATCAAAATGCTACTTTGTTTTCCTAACTAAAAAATAACATTCCACCAAGTAAAGCATTATCCCTTTTTTACCATAGCTTTACAAGAACTGAAGATTTCAGAGAAAATTCATAATCAGTTTTAACATTAGCCACCTGAACTATGCCAAATGTACCCAAAGTGTGAGTCCCGAAGATGGTCCAATGATATCTCTTCTACAAAACATTGCTAAATAATTGCAAGGTGTTACATGTTATAAGATAACTCCTATCTCAAATTTCCTAAAAGTATTATTATAATAAAATTTCCAAGCCTGTTGTGAACTAGGTTTAACACTTCTGGAAAGAGAAGCAAGGCACTCAGTGGTTTAGGACAGGTTTTTCAAGTACAGATTGTGAGTGTACAGTTGTTATACAATCCAACTTGAAAAATGCAAGAACTTTATTTTCACAGGTGGTAAGTTCTCACAGAGCATTTACATTACGCTATAAAAGAGCTGAAGGCCTTCACCAGATCTAGCTTCAGCGGTAATTATGCTGAAAGTATCATAAACATACCTTGCTCCTGGTGTCCACGGTTCAGTCCTAGTCCTAAACCTAGTCCCAGGGATACAACCACCAAAGCACACAGAAGAACCTGTCACACAGACACAGGAAAATTAAAGTTCATAATTGTGACAAACTGTTACCAGAAATTAACTGTGTGATTATTATTTCTATCAACATATGATTTCTTAGGAACTAATCACTTCTCTGAACTTGTTAATCAAAAAATTGGAGACATTCTGAGCCTCAAGGTAGGAGAGGCACAAGAATGAACTGCTTACAAGCCAACGCCTTAACACTGCACTTTTAACCTATGGCCAGTTCCACATTGTAATCGGGGCAGTCTTTGCTGGGGAAAAGATAGTAGGAAGTAATCAATGTATTTACCTGTTTTGCAAATTCTTGTTCTGTGTAAAGAGAAGGGAATTGCCTTTTTTTAGCTTCTGTATTTTCCTGAATGCTCACAGGGATTTCTTAAGAGACTCAGCTGGATTGAGGCTGCAATTTTTATCCACATGCCAGTTTCTCGTAATAAATCACCCCGTTGGTGGGGTTAGAGGAAATTGGAAAGAGACAAACAGGCCACGGAAAGCCCATAACAGAAAGCAGCATAACATTTGGGAGACTGGGGAAGAGCTGAGGAAGCCTCTGTCAGCTTAACAGACACTCAAGGTGAAGGGCGATGTATGCTGGCTGAAAGGTGCAGTGAAAAGTGACAGCCCTCTCAGAGTATTTCATAGTGTATGCACTTTCCTCTTCACTAAGGCAACGACAGGAAAGAAAATGCATATCACAGAAAATCACTGTAAAACAGCTCAGTTTACTTCCCATTTTTGCCCCAGAGCCTTCTTTTGTCTCCTGCCATTTCCAGGAACCACCAGGCACTAGCAAATACTAAGGTTCAAAATGAAGTAGAAATAAGAGACGCTTATTCTCATGCTCAGTATTACTGTAAAGGAGCCTCTTAACTGAAACTACAGCAATTATAAGGAGCTGAGAAAAACTGTGTGTGTGGGTAGGATATAACCAAGTATACATATGCCATCCTGTTACTTTTCGCCCATCCCTGTTCACAAAAACACCCGACGCTCGGCAGAAGTCTGGCAGCAGGGAGGGCTGCGCAGTTCTCAGGCGTGGGTGGAGCAGCCATGGCCGTGGAGCTCCGTTTGGCCATGGAGCAGCTCCATGCCAGAACAGTCTAAGTGCACATTATTCCTTCCCGTGGACCAGGAAGATCCAGGCACACAAGCCTGGAAAGTCAGGAGCGTGGCACACTCCACCTAGCCCTCTAGCAGGGACAAGCAGGAGACCTAACTGTGGGTCTGACACATGTGGCACATCCCTCTTCCTCTGGTCAGATACAGCCGGAGGGGCTCCTTCCAGATCCCGCACTTTCTCCTCCTGCTGCTATGCTCCTTGCGACCGTGGCTCAAGAATTTCCTGTTTCTCCCTTGCTGCCCACTCTCTCCAGCCTCACGTCACTGACTCTTTC